CCCGCCATGTCCAGGTTGCTCATGTAGATCTCATCCATTTCTCTGTCATTGGGCGATCGCTGTGTCTGTTCATTTTTTATTTTAAAGGGTATGAATCTGGATGGGAGGGAGGTGGGGAGAAATTGGGAAGAGTACAGAGAGGGAAAACTGTAATCAGAATATATTATGTGAGAAAAAAATCTATTTTCAATAAAACAAAAAAATTTTAAATAAAATCTTTAAAAAGACATTTTACACAACAACAAAAGAAAAAAAATAATTTTTACAGAAAAGAAATGAGAAATAAATATACCAAATACTAACACTGATTGTTTCACATGTTGAGAGTTCTTTTTAAGGTAATTGTTGTTGTCATGTCATATTTTATAGTTATTAAAGTTTTAAAAATTCATTTTAAAGTGTAAAATTTAAGTAGTGTTTACTTTTCAACTAAGAAAGCTTTTGACTGGAGAGTAAGCATCAGAGTACGTAGTCATTTAAAGTTCAGTCATGAAGATATAAACTACATTAGTAAAAGTATGATGTGGAATTTAATGTAGGAAATTATTTGTGCTCATGTTTAAAGGGTGAAAAACAAAAGAGGAAATAATGATACCAACCAAATAATGATAACAACAGATACCAGTCCACTCAAGTGGCTGGGATACAAAGTATAGTAAGATGGGATACCAGATCCTAGGAACCCGAGGAAATGGGTCTTGAGACATTGGAGCTCCATGAGAACGGGAGATAACAGGGCTACTGGTGGTATTTATGAGTAATGTGGCAATAAGGGCACTCTGTCAGTGCCAAAGAGAACTGGATGCTAAAGCCAATTCTCATCAGTAGAGAATTGTTTATAGGAACAGTAAGAAACACATTTTTTCCCTTGATATCTTTCTAATGTCTGCAGCTTTGACAAAGGAGGTTGTGCGACAAAGTTCATGTGCTCAGCCTTAAGATTATGCTCAGAAAGTTAGGTTTGGAAGTGGTAATTATTAGCAAATCACTAGTCTGACTTCCAAGGTAAAATTTGTTTTTGGGAAGTATAAGAATTACAATATTATGACATAAATAAACTATTAAAATAATTCTTTATCCCCCCCCCTTTTTCTTTGTGTGTTGGGAAGTAAACCCAGAGCTCTGTGTGTGATAAATACTCTACCATTGAGCCACATCTAGAGTCCCTGACATGTTTCTTATTCGTCCCTCTTTCCTTTTTATGAAATGAACATACCCTAGTATGTAGGTGTGTAAACTTGAAAATCCTACATTACAGAATCTTTGAAGACATAACCTGCCACTTCAAATTTTTAAGTAAGGACTATCAAAGTATTAACACTATGTAGAAGTTGTATGAGGAAAATGGTGTATCTAGACTCACAATGGGGAAAGTATAGATCTTAGAAGTTATAAAAATATATTTCCGAGTTGAAATGGCCTGTGGCAAAACATAAAAATGATATTCTTGATCTGTAGCGCTATGATCTGTAACAGAGCTGAAACTGTGCAGAAGCACCATGGGAGTGAGGTAAGGAAGGACTTACAGAGAATATGTAGTGATACAGAAATAGAGTGTCTCAGAAAATACAAGACAATGCTTTCCCACGATAAGTGACTCATCTTGAGTTCAGGAACCATGTGTCTCATTTTTAACAACTGTGAAGGCTTGGGAGACAATTTGGTAGCAGAAGGATACACACCTGAATTCTGTTTGCTTAGGGAAAGCAGAAGGGCTATAGCTATGCAGAGAATTACTCAGAACAGTCGTATTTGTTGAATGTCCTCTTTCTCTGTGGGAGCATAGTGCAAAGGTCTTTGCATAAATCATAGAAAGCTACCTAGAATTAACTGTTTTATCTAGATGTGTAGCAGGGTTATTATACAGAATGGAAGTTATAAAACCCAGATAAAGTATGGGAAAAAAAAAAAACCTGCCTGCAGGAACTGGAGAACAACTCACATAGACAGGATCTTTAAAGGTTCTTTTGCTTTTTTTTTTTTTTTAAACTTTGTTTTTTGAGATGGGGATTTCTCTAGCCCTGGTTGGCTTTGTTTTCTTTTGGTAAGGATCTTTAAAGGCGATGGTCCATGAAGGAACAGAGGTACACAGGAAGAATTCATGTTTATTTTGGCTTTTTTTTCTTCCAGAAAATTTCAGTTTGTCATCTGTGGTGGAACAGAGCCCAGGAAGACAATGATAGTTTTTTTTGGCATCAGCAAGATGGTGGAATAAGTGCTTACTTTGGCAGCACATACAGTAAAATTGGAACAATACAAAGATTAGCATAACCACTGTGCAAGGATGACACACACATTCATGAAGTGTTCATATTTTAAAAGAGATAAAAGGTAGAAAGGAAACCCCATCCCTCATCCTTTGCAGAAACACTGATTTAACAATCACATATACAGCAATATATTTTTATAAGTGATATAGAATCCAATAAAAATAATGCAGGACTCCACAGAGTACAAAACAGGAAACAGCCACTTTTGAAACCTTTAAGAAGAATCTCATTTCCCCAATCATCCCTTTCTTCATGATAGCTAAGACAGAATTTACATCAGTTGATCTATACCACTAAAGCAATATAAAATGAGCAGAATATACTTAATATCTTTAGCATTTCTGGGCACTGCCCAAGTGACATATCTTAACCCACTTTACTGCAACTGCTGAAGTTACCTGCATAAACTTTCAGAGGCAACTAAACAAAGGAGTGGCAACAGACTGAAGCTTGCACAGCTCTGTAAGACTACGAATAGTGCAAAATCAAGACTTCTTCCCAGATGGGGTAAAGAAGAGGGTAACAGGCAACTAGTGTCCCAGCCTTTCAGTTCAGTGTTTTAGAAGAAAGCGATGTGCAGCTAGCTCCTTGTGAACTGTATAGTTCTGTGAGATTGAGAAAGAGCATACAATCAGAGGGTTTTTTTTTTTTTCCTCAGAGGGAGAGAAGAGCAGAGTGCCTTGGTCTTTTCAGTATACTACCCTAGGGAAAAGAGATGAGTGATTTACTGTGGCTGTTTATGAGTATGAACAAATTGCAAGGAGACTCATAATCTTGAGACTCTCAGGAAGAATGGAGGAATAATACATATCCATAGAAAAGATTTGAGAGGTTCCCAGATTCTCAGATGGATTGATTGGTAAAAACCTTTCCCTGTTAAAGCCAGTCCATAAGGACCAAGGGAGACAGCTGTTTTTATTTTTCATTTTGCTGATAGAAAAAGTCAAATTTACAAGAAATATGAAGAGTCAAGTGATATGATGTCTTGTAACTGATGCTAAAAAATGAAATTCTATGAATTACCTGACAAAGAATTTAAAATATCTTTTAAAAAGTGAAATATAAGAAAATAGATACAGATAAGGTAATTAGAGAAGTAATGTCTGAACAGCATAATCAACAAATAAAGAGAAACCACAAGGGAAAAGTAAATAAGAACTTAACATAGTTCTGGAGCTGAAGAATATCACACTTGAGTTGATATTCATTCAATAGAATAACATTTTTAATATAATAAGAGAAATACTTGGTGAAATAATTGGTAGATATGCAAAATGATCTGTGCATGGGACAAAGAGAATAAGTGAAAAAAGCCTGTGAAGTTTATGGGAACATTATATGCAATATGTAATTACCAGAAGGAGAAATGAGAGAGAAATGGACAAAAATTTGAAAGAAACAATGACTGAAGACTTTTCAAATCTAAGGAGGGAAATGGACATCAATTATTAAAGCCCAAAGCACACTATTTAGATAAATTAATATCTAGATCAATGCATGTTGTAACCTGACTGTCATGAGTCAAAGACAGATATTTTGAAAGGAACAAAAGAAAAAGGAACTTGTGTACAAGGAAGCTTTATAAGATAAGGCAGATTTCTCAGTAGAGGCTTTTCAGAACAGAAGAGAATGAAATGATGAATTTCGCATACCATCGGAACAAACCATTTAGTAAAAATATTGTGCCTAGTAAAATGATCCTTTAAAGATAAGAGAGAAGGATTTTCTTATACAAATAGTAGCAGAGGTAATTTATCGCAAGTAGACTTGCCTAGCAAGACATACAAGGAAAGAGTTCTTTAAGTTGGAGCAAAAAGGGTGCTTGCTATATGGCATAAAAGAAAATTAAAGTATAGAATTTATGGGTGAAGGCAAAGATAGAAACATAAGACATGGATATTATTAAGGTAGTATATAAATCACTTGTAATTTTAATATAAAATTAAAAGACAATTATTAAGAGTAATTATAGTTGCAAAATTTATCAGTGAATACATACTGGTGTTAGTGGTGATGTCAGTGACAAAAATTTGGGGAAAGAATTATAGAATTTTTGTATGCAAATAAAACTATAAACTTACAGGCTGAGGAAATGGCTCATCAGGTAGCATGAGAATCTAATTTCAAATCCCTGGCACCTATATTAAAAAGCCAGGCATGGTCATGTGTACCTGTAACCCCTATGCTGCCTGGGATAGACAGGAGGATCTTTGGAGCATGTTGGCTTATAGAAACCCAGCCTCAAGAGAATAAGGTAGAGCACGATAGAGTAGGACACATGATGTCTTTCTCTGTTCTTCACATGGGTACATACATACCCTCCTACATGTATATGCCCCTTCTCTTACACACACACACACACACACACACACACACACACACACACACACACTATTAGCTTAGCATAGATGATTATAAGATGCATTATATAAGCATTGTGGAAACCACAAAGAAAATATGTACAGAAATTTAGAAGTGGTCTAGGCTAAATATAACTTTGTAGTAAAGTGGTTGCCTGGCATGCAAAAGCCCTGTATTCAGTCCCCACCACTGGAAAATATCAGAGAAAAATATAAACGAAGATTATAATAATAGTTCTTGTAGGGCACTATGTTAGCTTAGATGCAGATGTTCATTAGGGTGATAGAAAGTGGTAAAGTGCTGTATCAATTTTGGCATTTGAACTGATAGAATATTCTCTCTCTCTCTCTCTCTCTCTCTCTCTCTCTCTCTCTCTCGCTCTCGCTCTCGCTCTCGCTCTCGCTCTCGCTCTCGCTCTCGCTCTCTCTCCAGGGTTTCTCTGTGTAACGGCCTTAGCTGTCCTAGAACTCACTTTATAGACTAGACTGGCCTCGAACTCATAGAGATCCACCTGCCTCTGCCTCCAGAGTGCTAGGATTAAAGGCATGTGCCTCCACTACTCCAGGCTAATTTTCCAATAGCACATATGTGTTATAGATAAAAGAAGATGTGACTTTTTCAACTAAGGATGTAGTCATCATCATCAGGGAGATGTGTAGTTTGGAAGGGATATGTTTTCAAGAAGACATAAAATACTGCAGTCTTGATTATATTGTATTTGAAGAGGTACAGATTTAAGTGGAGTTGTAAGTTAGGCAGTTGTCTGTCTGAATGTGAAGTTGTGTAAAGTGTTGGATGTCAATAATTTTCTATTATTTTAAAGCTAACGGCTGGTTGAAAACAAGGAGTTAATATAGCTAGAGATGAACAAAGTGAAGACAGATTCTAGAGAACTATAGCATTTCAATTTAGGTGAAAGAGGAGAATTTTTAATAAGGTATGGAAAGTTGTAGCCAGTGAGGTACATGGAGACAAGAAACATTTTTTAGAAGTGAAGAACAGAAAACATTTCAGAGAAGAACCAGTTAAATATATGTGGTAATGTTGATGTTGAATAGAATGAAACCTGGAAGTATGACTAGCATATTTGGCAACAGGAAATTGTTGCAGATTTTGAAGAGAGTGATTTTGATCAAAACAGAAGAGTGAAGGAAGCTTGACTGAGAACAAGAAAAGAGTAAGTAGAGTAGAGTGTAATGACCAGTTCTTAATAGTTTTTAAAATTTTAGTTAAATGATAATTACAGCAATTCTCCCCTTCTTTTTCCTCCTTCTAACCACTCCCATGTCTAGCCCCTTAATCCCTCTCAAATTTGTGGCCTCTTTTTCTTTGATTATCATTCTCACACATACATATATCAAACACATAAACATATAAATATAATTTGGTAAATAAATCCATTTAGTGTTGCTTGTATGCATATGATTTCAGGACTGACCACTTGGTCCTGGATAATCAATTAGGAGGCCTGTCCCTGGGGAAGACTTAATTCTTCCTCTTCCAGCATTTGTTAGTTGCCTGTAGTTCTTTGTCAAAGGGTGGTACCTCTTTAATATTTTTTCCCTTCCATGTTATCCTGTCTATTAGTGTTGTCATTGTTTGGGTCTCTTTAGGTAGGCATATTGTTGAGGTATCATGGGTATAGCTTCCCTGTCATTTCCAGGAGACACAGTCTCATATCAAACTTCCTGTTCATCTGGTTCTTATTCTGTCCCTTCATTTATGATGTTCTCTGAGCCTTAGGTATGGGAATTGAGTTGTAGATGTATTAATTGGAGCAGTCAAATTCAAATTTTGATACATATAATTGCCATAGAATCTGCCTGCTTTCCATGTTTTATAAATCTGCCTTTAACATCTTCTACCTATAGTTAAGAGATAGAGATATAAAAATTGATTGCTTCTGAGGAGGGAGAATCATTTTTCTTTAAGGGTGTGGCTCATGGTAGGTTGACCATACTCGAGTGGATGGACCCACACAAAATAATATGAACAATATGAACAATGCAATTGAAGTCAATGGGCTATTGAATTTTTTAAAAGAATACACAAAATTAGGGGTTAGGGGGAGGTAAGGGTAAATCTGGGAGTTAAGGTGGGAATGTATATATATTTATTTTATATTTTATCTTTAATTGGGAATCCATTGCTATAAGCTAATATCTGCTATGACATAATGCAAATCCTGGTCCTGATACAGAAACACTAGGAATATGATCAAGGTATATTTTATGAAATTCTTAAAGAATTAAAAAATATTCTTAAAAAGCAACAACAAAAAATGACCTTGTACTGATGATGGCCCTTTAGAACTGTCTAACCCAATACTTCCTCATATTGTAGCTAAGTAATGTTATCTAGACACAGAAACTCTCCTGAGGAGCTTCCCTAATTCTGCCTTTTTGAGTGGTGGCCTTTTTTTTGTGAAAGGTCTGTCTCCAGTAGGATTTCCTCTGCAACCTGGTAATGTGCTACTTAATCAAACTCTCTGTATTCTGCTGTTCTGTGTCCATGAATTTTTCCTTAGTCACCCTGAAGTTCTGAAACTCCCTACAAAATGTTAGTTTCTTAGTGAAATTGTTTAAAAAAAAATAGCAACTGCAGCTGGATTTTTTGTTGTTGTTTTGGGTTTTTGTTTATTTGTTTTTTTGTTTTTTAAGACCAGGTTTCTTTGTGTAGTAGTCTTGG